GTTGGTGAATATGATACCCGCCTCATCTCCATGTGCTTATGTTTAGGGATACTTGTAGTGGTTTAAAAGGGTACCTCATCTCCGACGACAGCTACGACCAATGACCGACGAAGTCTTGTACCTCAACTTCGATGACATCTCCCAAATGACATTCCTGTTTATCATAGATAGTTGTTAGAATGTGGTTTGTATGTATATAACCATACATTTTTTATGTCTTAAAGGATATTTAAGAATGTTAATTAATTTTTATGTGATTGTCAATGCAAGGATCTATGAGGGGCGTCATTAGAATCTTATAGATAGTGATTTCTTGTTGTGATGTGAGCGAGCGAACTATAGTCTGAAATCGTACTAACAACGCCTTACAGATAACTTGTGAGGCAGCTGAAGAACACTAATCCAATAGTAGAGGAGGTTGACATGCACGTGGTAGATGCTCATAATCATTTGGGTAGCAGACTCTTATATTATGTATTTGGTTGATTTGGACTATTTGTGTAATATTTGGAACGTGAGAACCTATTTTATTTATATAATTGAATAACTTTGTTCTTTTTTACATAGTTACTATATTTCTCGTAAGGATGTCAGTTTTTATATGCATGAGAGTGGAACGTTTTGCAATGAATTAAGAATAATCATAAATGTTCAATTATTCAAAAATACACGCTCGCGCCTTAGGATAATAATGGGTTGACGATATGATATCTACCATGGGTAAAGGACAACCTTATTGTAGGTGAACCTGTAAAGCTAGAACTAGTAAATGGAAGTTACTTTATAATGGAACAAAAGAAAACTAACTTACTTACGTGAAATGACATCCATGAATGTGTTCAATACATATTAATTGATGTTGTCTTATATCAGAAGGCGATGAAGTACATAGTAAAAAGATCATATAATTCTGACCATATGATAAACAAACTAAGATGACATTATATCGATTAACGATAGCATAAGCAATGTTTGGTATAGTCATCCACTTGTCTATATTATTTTGTAAGTAATAAAACAAATTTTTATGAAAGAAAAAGGTAAGACATAATGAGTAAAGTGCCAACTATTGCAACGTGTACCATATTTTGTGACTCGACTAACAAAGACATCCTTAGTTCATTCTAGTCGCTCGTAGATTTCGACTAGTCTTGTATATTCATCATGTCACTGACTAAGTTTTTTAAACAGGTCATGTCAAAATATGAGGCTTCACGCTTTGTAGAGCTTTCAATTTGATTAACATTACTCTTTTTCTGAACCCTTCATTTTAACTTTATGTAATGGAGGTACCGTAACTTTTGTTTGATGTTCACTTTTCCTCGAATGTTAACCTCTTTGAAACGTTTTTGCACCATATCAAGTTCATGTTGTATGCATAACTCTAGTTGCGATTCATTTGATACAATATTTGAAAAGTTCAATCTAGTACACATGACATGAATTTTAATCAGAGGAATCATCCTATGATCATATCGTGCTAATTCACAAGCACATGGTAGACCATACGCTCGTCTCAAGGTGCATCTATAACTTAAATATCCAATCATATATGCTTTACTCGATCAAACTTATCAGCAATGAAATCCAAAGCATATCTCAATACATGTCTAATCAGTCTTTTATATCTGGTTCCTATAAAAGCTTCATCCTAGGATCATATCATGCTAATTCACAAATACATGGTAGACCATACGCTCATCTAAAGGCACATATATAACTTTCAATGTCCAATTTTATATGCTTTACTCGATCGAACTTGTCAACAATGAATTCCAAAGCATATCTCGATACACGTCCAACTAGTCTTTTATATCTGGTTCCTATAAAAGCTTCACTCATAAGATTAAGACTTTTTTCAAATGACGTCTTTATCTTATTATATTGCAGAATAATGACGTTATGAATGATATCCCAACATGAACAAGGTCTCTAGTAATACTCCCCAATATCCTCTTCAGGATCCAGTGACAAACTTAACCCTGATACAAATGACATGAACAAAATAAAAAAATATATAACAAAAACAACTACATAAAATAACATTAAAAATTCATGTTTAATGTTGTGTTTTCTAAATGTATAATTTTGTTTGTCCACATCTTTACAAAGTATGTCTTATACGAAATAATTGAAGTTTGATTCACATATTCAAAGAATAAAGGTTATGAACTAGAAACATATTGAAGGCAATGAACATAGCCAGTAAATATTGACTCTTACTCACAATCTATGACATTTTTCCATGCTTCCATCATGACATTTCATGCCTCCACTAACATTTTGCACTTGGCTTTTACATTTTTCGAAATGTGACATAGGAGATGATAACATTCAAGGAATATAGTGTCAATGACATTCATCAAAGTCGGGTCTTTGTCGCTAACAATGAATTGTGGATCACTCTCATATGTCATAAATAATCCTTTAAGTCTTTCCAATGCCTAAGTGAAATTATTTTCATGTTCACTTCATAAGAATGCAAAGCTACTGAAAAATGTCAACCTTGTAGATGTTACCCCAACCATCTTAAGTAATAATAGCCGATATTTGTTGGTTTAATATGTCGTATCAATCAACAAAACAATATTAAATGTATTGAACAATTTGACTACATTAAGATTTTTCCTAAAGAAGTCACTTACCACCTTATATTCATCGACATATATACTCCAATGGATGTATTTATCACGATCCAACATCATAATTAGTTGTTGCAATTCAGTTCTCGACCCTCTCAATAATCATTTGTAAGTATACCTTGTATTATGTATTTGTTTGATTGTTGTGACATTACAATCACTATTTTGTTTCAGAGTTAGTAGAATATTTGCAAGCTTGACTTTAGTCAGATTAACAAGTAACAATTTTTCAGTAGGATTGAACCTCCCAAAAAAAGGGTGACCAACTAAACTCTGTGCCAAATCATGATTATGATATCCACATATAACATTCAGTACCTACCCTTCTCCATTAGCATTTGGCTTGCCTCTCAATTTAAAAGGGCACTTGCATTTTCTTGTGCCGTATATGCTAGGTTAAATATCAGGTTTGTATTTCCTATACTTTCCACCTCTTTCACATCCTAACAAGACAAACTTCTTTCTCCCAAGTTCACTAGTAGCTTTATGAGATCTTATAGTTACGACAAAAAGCCTAAGATGAAAAACAATCTCTTGAACCCATTCAATTAAGTCATCACATGTGGGAAATATTTGATCAATTGTAAAATTTTGTGTATAATCTCCCTCACACACTTCATTGATGAAAGGAGATAAATCTGACACGAAACTTGAATTTACTTGTAAATTCATGAAACCAAAAAAATAATATTCCATCTTATAAACACGTATAACATAACATCTTTAACACTCAATACCTCACTTCATTATAATAACACTAATAATAATACCTCAACAAATTTTATAAAAATAGAAACAAATTATAAATAAAATTAAAAAGAAATAAACTTAAAAGAATAAAAGAATTGAAAAGGATTAATTGAATTTCAAAATTTAGTGAGAACTTAATTGTATTTTAAAATCTGCTGACTTAATCGGATTTCAAATTCCAACGAAGCCTTAATCGGATTTCAAAATTCGGTGAAGCCTTAACCAAATTTTGAAATCTAGTGAGGGCTTAATCAGATTTTGAAATCATGTTAAGAAAGTCACTTAATTTCGAAATCTAATTAAGGAAGTCGTCATGAAATTCGATTAAAGCTTCACTAGATTTAAAAATATGACAAACCTTTAATCTTTAATCGGATTTTGAAATCTTATGGTTGTTTTAATCGAATTTTGAAATTTATTGACTTCATTAATCAAATTTTGAAATCTGTTTACTTCATTAATCAAATTTTGAAATTTGAAAAGTTATGAAATCTCTTGATTTTCTAACCAAATTTTAAAGTTTGACAAATTTTTTAATTGATATTAAAATCGGTTAATTTTGTAAACCGGCTCGCGACATCCGTTTATTTCCTAACACTTTGAAATGTACAAAAACGAACTTAAATGTAACTATGGATGAACAATATTACAAGCAACGAGAGCATCAAAAAAATTCAAAGGATTACCAATAACTCGATGTGAGAATATGACCACAAAGCAAAGAGGGAAACGAAGAAAACGAAGAAAAATAATGAAAAAGAAAGAAGTAAACAAAAATGAAGGAATTTTGAGAGTGTAGGATTTTAATAAATATAGGCCAAAGATTAAATTACATTCAGTAAGAGTCATTACTATCTTTTTGTTTTCATTTAATAAAGGATAAAAGTGTCTACTTGAAAGTGTAAGAAGGAGTGAAGGAAGTATATGAAGGAGGGACTCCATGCTTCTCTGAAGAGATGAACCAAGCTTTACGCACACAACAATTTCAAAGCATATTAAATTATTTAAAGGTTGCAATTAACAACTTTTCACTGTAAAATTATTTAAAAAATTATTGATTAAAAAAAGTAAAAAGAAAAAAGAAACAGAAGATATTCTATATATATTTACCTGCAGAAAGGTACAAAGAAAACTGGAAAAAACAAAACAAAAGCATTGATGCATGACATATACTACTGCTTTTTCCCTGCCATCAGTCCATCACCTTGCCTCATTATTATTTGTCATCAAATCAAATGTAATCATTTTTCTTATGCAAAATCAAACACTACATTTCCATCCATACATAACTGAATCTAATCAAATTATACTCATCACGTGGCTGATGTATATTGCAGTCAAGCCAACTTATTTATATACATATTCCTATTATTGTTCCTTTTACTTTACTTTTTTTTTATTCACAATTATTCATTATAAAATTTTATTTTTCTATCACACATTCATCATATATCTTTTCCACACTTTTTCTCTCCACCCTATTATAAAAATTCTCAAACGCAAATAAAGTTTCTCCAGTTACCTCTGCCTCTACCCAAGGGTCATGTGATACCACTGTGCATATATATATATATATAACTAAGTTATTCAAACAGTCAAAAGAATGCTCCTATAAGAGAATAATATATGATTCACATTCCAGAATCCACACTACTCTCGTTTTCACCCGAATTGAAATCACTCACTTACTTCACTCCATCGTTCACCATCATCATCAACAAGAACACTGAACATTCATATATTCCTTTTCCACAAGTTTATGACACAGAAAATGTGGCCTTTAAGCTCTGAAAAGAACAACAGCGGCAGCAGCAGGAAGATGCAAAATGAATCTGGCAGCACCACAAGCACCACCACCAACACTGCCGTGGCAACGAAATCCATGGTGTCAGCATGCCACTGTTGTTGTTTGGTGACGAAACTGATGAGGAAACTGAAGAGACGTGGGCGCACACTGCGACCGAAAAGTGCGAGTCGACAAGGTTCGTTCCAATGCCGCTATGATCCGTTGAGTTATTCCTTGAACTTTGATTCCACCGGATGTGGCAGCTTAATGGATGAAGATTACTACAAGTTCTACGCTTTCTCTTCCAGGTTTGTGGCAAATCCAAGAACAACTTCTTCATGCCCCGTTCTTCAACTACAATCAGGGAACTCCCATTAACCACCACAATCAATCTCTTCACCTTTTTCTTTCTCAAACCCTCTTTCCAATGATATAAAGATGGGTATTGTAGGGATCTAAGTTCTTCCGTAACATATATATTGAATCTATCAGTTATCTTATCGTTAATTTCGTTTAACTTCAATCATATTCGTTGCTAATATCTTCAGATGTCTCGTTTCCAGTATTAGATTTTCATGGTTTTGAATTTGCTCTGTCCTCAACATGGCATTTTACTTCTACAAATTAATTTAAATTTCATACTAATAAATTAACGAATCTTTCTATTTAAATCTTTTCTTCTGTCTGAATCTTGAACAATGAATATACATGGTCTAAGAGAAAGAAGGATGGCAAAAACTATAAAGATGAATTGAAAAACAAAGCCTAGGAGCTTGCGCCTACAATTATTTTAAATAGGATTAAACAATATTCAGACCATATGGATTTATTCTTTGGAATAAAGTCAAACGATGTAATTACGTTAACTATTATTGGATGATAAAATATTCCAGGCATATATACACACAAACGTAAATCAAAGATGTTGAAGAGTTAATTCTATTATGCCAAAAAAATATATATAATTAATTATAATTTTTTAGTTTGAAATATATTTTTCAAATTAGTTCTAATTTTAATATTCAATCTTTGATGTAAAATTATTAGACTTGATTATTTACATATTAGAGGGTAACTTGAATAAGCTATTTTAAAGCACACTCTTTTGTCTTGCATAATTCATGAAAAAGAAATTTAGTATATTTTAATACTTAAAGTCAGTTTAAACTTCTCATTTATTTATTTATTTTATTATTCCTTCACATTATACATCAACCCTAGCAATTCTTTTAACTATAATTAATATGATTAATTATGTTAATTTTAATAATTTAAACAATAATTTATTTTTATATCTTTTTATTCATAAAAAATTAACTTTAACATATTTATTTTATATAAATATTAATATCATATTTACTCAACTTATTTTAATTTTTATTGGTAGTGATAATCTCATGTAACAAAAATATAAAATATTAAAACAAGATAATTGTTGTAATATTTATATGTTTTGTCTTTAAGATTTTGATTATGCAAACTAATTTACAAGTCCACACATCTGTCATTATACGAGATGGATCAACAAAATTAATCCGTAAATTTTATACGAAAAATGCTGGAATGGACTAACTTACATTATTATTTCTATATGAAATAACGTATAAAAAAAGTATATCTTTCTTAATAATCAATATCACATACTCATTTCTACTATCGAAAGAAAAAACGTTAAAAGTAGGAAAATGAAATAGCAGTATTAGTTATATGGAGAATGACAATGAGTCAAAAAGCGTAGCATGGGGATGTTGTAGTTCCTAGGTTGAATGTGTGGAGTGCAATGAATGTTAGCATTGGTGATGTGCATAAGCCATTGTCATGAAGTATTTTAAAGAAAGTGCGATGCAGAGAGAGAGAGAGAGAGAAATGTGTTTCTTGAATTATGGGTAACCATGTGCAGTTGAGCTACTTTCTCCAACCACACATAGGTTATCAGAGAAGTTACGAGACAAAACTCCGCAAATAATGCTCATCAAAAATTACAACCAACACACATGCCTTTTATAGGTTTACGTCGACTAAAAATTAAGATAAAAGGATTTCATAACTAAATGTAAATTTCTTTTCATAAATTACTTTTATAAAATTGAATTACATTTAAAATTTATTTTTTATTATACATTTCATAATTTTTAGTCTTTTTTTTTTCTCTTTTTATATTAACATAAATAAATAAATCAACTATATATGTTTCCTATTTTTCTTTTTCTATTTACTCTTACTATTATGCAATACAAGTTTATAGACATATCTTCTTACGACAAAGGGAAAATAGTTTAAAGGAGAATATAGGATAAAAATAAATTATACAATAGAAAGATATAAAGGAAAAATAGACTGTGAAATTATATTTCATATATAACATTATTATTTTTTTCTTTATATATTGTGGATATTTTTTTTAGGAGTAACGGTCAACAAATTCAGCACCAACACCCATGATTTAAACATATACATTAACTATATAAGTTTGTATGTCTGTTTAGTTTTTGATTTCTTAATGATTCCATGCACAAAGATACAGGTGACAGCAAAATCCATAACCACAACACAATTAGTTTTAAACTATTCTCAACATACGTATTCAACTTTTAAACAATTAGTTTTAAACTTTTAGTATGGTTATTCTTTTATTACTAGTTTCTCAAGTTATGAAAGAGTTTTAGACTTTATAAATAGGACGTAATTCATATGACTTTTAGCTATAAGATTCTAATTTATTATTTCTAAAATTATGATTTTTAACTTATTAAATTAAAAATATTTAATGAAACTAATTAGAAATCTTGTTGATAAATTGTAAAATAATATAAAAATATATAATTACTTCATTTTTATCATGTAAATAAAGTTTGTATTTTTTAAATAAAGATATTTTTATTTAAACAAGTCATTTTATTTAAATTAATTGATTTAATGACTATTAATTAACTTAAACTTTTATTTGGGTTTAAAAATTGAAAATTTATTGTATTTATCAATTCAAACTAATGTCACATTTCGATTTTGTAATGTTAACTTTTTTTTATTTGAATTTCACAAAAATAAATAACACAACTATTCAATATTTTTAAATACACTTTTATATAAACCCAAACTAGTAAAGAAAATAATCTTATGGTCTAGGTAATAATTCAAAATAAATAATATATAAATAATAATATATAAATTAAAACTAGTAAAAATAATATTAAGATATAAAAATATTAATAAATGAAAATTGACCAAGTTACGATCTAAAATCTAAAATCTAGTTAAAGTAGTTTGTAATTTATAAACTATTAATAAACTTGAAATATTTACTAAATATCTTTTTGTGTTAGTTAAACTAACTTATAAATTAGCTTTCATAATCCCATCATTACTACTATATTTACTTCTCCTTAATCTAATGTGTTTGTATAATTCCCACAAATTAGTTAGATTATTAGACCACTTTCTTTTTTATAGATTTTATTTAAAGATTAAAGATGGTTTGGCACAATGTATTGCTAGTGATGTCTGCAGCTACAATAATAAATCTCTGACAATGAGTTCTTCTCCACATTAAATCATATTCACATGCTACTTTTACATTCACTAAATTAACTTTCTTTATAAAAGTTAAACCTATTTTTTTCTTAATCAAAAACTCAGTGGATATGTTATATTATACAGCACATTATGATTCTGTTAGTTTTTACTTGTTTATATTATTGCTGTGGAAATTTAAATTTGGGTATTGGCAGAGAAATATCATATCATTGAATCAGTGCTACGCATGAGTTAGTATTAGACACCAATTTTTAATTACACTTAATTGAGAGATTTGTAAATTTGAACCAAAATTCTCCACAGGGTAAACAACCACATTTTTTATCTACATTTTTAATTGTGACAATTAGGATGACAAAAAAATCCGCTGACACGGATATTCATGGGTAAAATCCACGGCAGGTAGTTACTATCCGTAGATATTTACTATCCGCGGATTACGGGTAATAGGTATTTTAATACCCGCTTTTAAACGAGTCGGGTACAGATAGTATACTACCCAACCTGCGGGTATCTGCTACCCGCAAAATTATAATAAAAAAGTTAATTTATATATATTTTAATTAAATTTAATTAAAAATTAAATTAAATTACATTTTATTAGGTTAAATTTAATTAAAATTAAATTTTAATTTATATTTAATTTAATTTATATCATATTATATATTTTTGTAATTTTATTTTAAAAATATATAATCTGGCGGGTCGGGTTGCGAGTAGGCATTATCTGTATCCGACCCGTTGTCATCCTAGTGACAATTAATCTCTAATTATATATGACCAAAATCTTGTATTTTTGTAAGTCAATAAATTAAATAGATTTTGACAATGATAAAAAGTTTTACACATGAAATTATGTTAACAATAAAATGCATAAAAAATAATGTAATGTATGAATTTAGTATATATTAGATTCAATTATATCTTTTTGAAATATTTTATTTGAATAATATTAATTATGTTTGTAATGATATAAAAATGATTATTTTTTCTTATAATTAAATTATTTAATATTATTATGTTGCATTGTATCCTACTAATTGCAATTTATATCTTCAAAATATAACATTATTTATGTCATTACTAATAATTACGAAGATTTACA